TGGAGATGTATATCGGTAGTATTGGGTTGTTGTTGTTATTGGTATTATTATCATGGTTATTAAGGTTTGTTTACTCGCAAATGACCTTTATGAGGGATCAATTTAATGGAAATGTATATCGGTAGTATTATGGTTGTTATTGTTATTGGTATTATTATTATGGTTATTATTACGTGTTGTTGTTGTTTTTATTATCTTGTTATTTTTACTTTTAGTATGATTTTATGTCTTGTTGATATTCTTATTATCAGTGATATCACTTTTATTATTATTATTATTGTTATTATTATTATTATTATTAATTTTGTTGTTATTATTACTCTCATTGTTACTATTATTGCTGTTATCCTTATCATTACTATTATCATTATTGTCATTACTGCCATTGTTATTATTATTAGTACTACTATTATATTATTATTATTATCATTATCATTATCATTATTATCATTACTAGTATCAGCATTAATTATTGACATCATCATAAACATCCTTTTCCACATCATTATTTTCATCGTTATCATTTTCATCATAACCATTTATGTCATCATTATCAATATTTGTTATTATTTCTTCATTATCATTTTTATCATTATCGTTATTTTTACTATTGTCACCACTACTAATACTACTATTGTTATTCCTATTAAAATCATTGTTATCATTATCATTATTATTACCGATATTATCATTATCATCATCATGGCTGTTATTGACAAAAGTTTCCTTATCATAATTACTGTTAGTATCATTATCATTATGACTGCCATAACAATTATAACTATGATTGTTACTGTTATCAACATTATCAGTATTATTATTACTTTCATTAATATCAGTATCATTATTAGAGGAGAGAAGAGAGAAGAGAAAGAGAAAGAGAAAAGAGAGAGAGAGAGAGATAGAGAGAGAGAGAGAGAGAGAGGAGAGAGAGAGAGAGAGAGAGCAGAGAGAGAGAGAGAGAGAGAGAGAGAGAGAGAGAGAGAGAGAGAGAGAGAGAGAGAGAAAGAGAGAGAGAGAGAAAGAGAGAAAGAGAGAAAGAGAGAAAGAGAGAAGAAGAGAGAAAGAGAGAAAGAGAGAAAGAGAGAAAGAGAAAAAGAGAGAAAGAGAGAAAGAAAGGAAGAACACTGTGTTTCCTTGAGTTTAGTGCAATGTTCAAGAGATATAAGAATCTAAAGAAATAGCGAATGTCAAATAATATTACAGTTTGAAGAGGCGGACGAGGGGAAGAGAACAAACCAAAAAGAAAAGCAAGAGAAAGAAGGAGCAGAAGAAGATGATGGAACCTGGCTTGAAGAAGTGGAAGAACAAGAAGAAAGAAAAGGAATCGAAATAAAAGGTAGAGCAATGATAAGAAGAAATAGAAGTAAGAGGAGGAAGAAGGAGGAGGAGGAGGAGGAGTAGAAGAAGATAAATAAGAAAAGAAGATTTATAAGAAGAAGAAGAAAGAGAAAGAGAATTAGAAGAAAAAGAATAGAAGGAAAAAGAAGAAGATAAATAAGAATTAGAAGAAAAAGAAGAATTAGAAGGAAAAGAAGAAGAGAAAGAAGAATATAGAAGAAAATACAGACGAAAGTGGAGAAATTATGCCATTAAGAAAGTAAGAAAAAAAAAAAAACACTGAAATTAATGTTTTTTTTCCCTTTCCACAAAATACAAAGAGAAGAATGGTGTAAAGGAAGAGCCAAAGAAAAGGGAGGTAAAAGAGAATACGCGAAAGGGAAGATAAGAAGTAAGAAGACGATTTAGAAAAAGACGGAAAGACAGGAAGGAATGATGATTATTAGTAGTAGAAAAATGAGAAAAACAAAAAGAGGAAAACAAGTAAGAAATTGAAGTAGAAGACGACAATTACGTCTGAAATAAAGAAAGAGAGAGAAACAAATAAATACATAAGTAAATAGATAGATAAAGAAAGAATGAAGGAAAGAGAAAGAAAGAAAAATCAACATTAAATAAAAATCTAAATGGAAAAAAATCAAGAAAGAAAAAGAAAAAAATGAAAAAAATCAAGAAAGAAAAAGAAAAAAAGAAAAAAATCAAGAAAGAAAAAGAAAAAAAAAAGAAAAAAAGAAAGAGAAAGAAAAAAAAAAGAAAAAGAAAAATGAGAGAAAGAAAAAAATGAAAAAAATGAGAGAAAGAAAAAGGAAAAAGAAAAAAAGGAAAGAAAAAAAAGACAAAGAAAAACAAGGAAAAGCAAAACAGAGACTGCAGCAACCTCACCCATCACAACGACATCGGGGACGACCTCCTGCTCCAGCCACTCCTCGAACTTGGTGACCCTCATGCGATAGGTCGGACTCGGGGGGGCGGTGAAGGAGGCGTAAGGAGCCCACACCAAGGTCACCCTCAAGTCGTAGGGCTCGAGGGCGGGGTCCGAGTCGTGCAAAGGGAACATGGAGAAGGTGAAGTTCGGGGAGGCTAGCCAGGTCTTGTTTTCCCTGAATATTCCTTGGTCAAAGGGGTTTTCCGCGTCTGTGATCCTCTTCTTCTCCTCCTC